GGGGGGGCAGGGGGAGTGGTACACGGGGGAAGACGATGAGAACGGTGATGGGGGGGCAGGGGGAGTGGTACACGGGGGAAGACGATGAGAACGGTGATGGAGAAACGAGTGAAGGAATGAAGAAGAAGAAGAGAGAATAATGAAAAGAGAAAAGAAGAAATGAGAGGCACAAGGCCTCGGTAAGCCCTATTGGGCCCCGTTATCAGCAAGGCCGGCCGCCCTAAGTGAAGGCAGGCCCGACCTAGGCCTATATTGGACTACCACACATCTGGGGAAATTCAGGCAGTTGCGCAGCGCCAGTTGGTTGGAAGCCCCAGGCCCAGGCTGCCCTTATCGTATGTAACTGAGGCAGGACCTGGGCCAGATACACAACATGGATTGAACCCAGGCTACGGGCAGTTGGGCATGAGTAACCACCATAGGCCCTGGGCCTGATTCGTTTGGACTGAGGCTCAGCCTCCCGGGGCCTATCGGAAGCTTCTAGGCTGGGCCCCGGTGCAGCCAGGTCGCGCACAGCAGGCAGGCCACTTCCATTTAGGAAAGTGCCTGCTCCAGCATTCCTCGTTCGGGCACTGGCTGCATGCTGCGCTGCTGCGCTACACGCTGGCCAGGCTCACTCGCTCACGGGCGACCAGGGAGAGGCAAGCAGCCATAGCCGAGCTGCTCTGCACAGTTGGGTGGGACGCATGGTGGTCCTTGGGTGCACGTGGCATCTGTGAGTGGGGGATCGAGGTTGTGAGTGATACGAGAGATACTTTGTGCTTGAGGCGAACGACATTGGCCGAGATCTGCTCGTACTTCGGGGAGCTGTTGACGTCACCAGCGACATCGTAGATAGGCTAGATAGGATCTGCCATTTGTAGTCTGGGCGCAAAGCGCCAGATAGGATGTTGACATTGGTTCTTTGTTGATGATGATGAGACTATTCCAACATTGTCACTTATGAGCTTTTGCTGCGCTCTTATTTGGTGGAACTCCTGATGCAATTCTGCTTTTGGTTTGAGGTCACGACTATCTGGTCTCATGTGTATGATGCTGATTGGTTTCTGAAGTTCGCTATCGCTCATTTTCCTTGCAATTTGGTATCAGAGTTGTGGTACGTTGCGCTCATTTGGCCCTTGTCTTTTGCCTATGCGGTACATGCATGCGGTCTACTGGGCGAGCGACCGTAGGGAGTGTGTAGTGAGGAGGGCGAAGGCAAGTAGGGCGACCCAGGAGGTGAGGGATATCGCCAGGAAGGCTACGTGGTGAATGATGGGTGTTCGCAGTGTGATACTATCTGATGTGCGATTGATGTTGAGACGGAACGACGGTGTAATGCTGGTTGTGCCGAAGCAGCTATTGGTCATCACAGTCGGCATCAGGTCATCTAGTGAGAATATTTGTGGTTGAGGGAAGCTATTTTGAGGCACGTTGCACCTAACCTTATCTACCCTCTTCGACACGTCTTACCGTGAGGATGTGTGTTCTGTCTTGAGAGTCCTCTCATGTGAGGTGTCGAGTGCGCTCAACCTTGAGAGTCGGCATTGTTCACGTGGAGCATTTGGAAGGAGAGGGCGGAGCTATCTGAAGGGCCTTGGACGAAGCACTGGGTCACGGTCACCATGCCAACCCACCGGGAGTAGAGCACGCATGCTTTGCTGCTTCGTCCTTTGTCTGCTCGCTGTGCTTGTAGATGGGTGATGCGGGGCAGGCCAGCCCTACAGGGGAGACGAGTACCGGGCATCTATAAATAAGCATCGGCGGGGTTACCTTCCACAGGCTGTGGTCGTCGTCTTGTCTGCGACGTTAAATAATTCCTGAGGACTTCGGGGGCCTTCCTTAAATGCCTCCTGATCAGCCTGGTGGTCGGTGTAAGGCTCGCTGCACGCGAGGATAAAAATAGTGCAGGGCTGGCCGGCTCGACATACACTCGGGGCACAGGGGTGGGCAGTCTGCATACCTTTAGACAGGCATGCTGTTCTGAATCGCTCAGGGACGTTGATGTCAAGTGACCATCAAGAGGAACCGACGGAGGGGTAGATTCCAGGTGATAAGTTCGTGTTTAATTCCACTCTGCAAATATCCACACAAACGATTCTATTTTTATTCTTGATTAGTTAGATGGACTGCCATTGACATCTGACAAATAACATTAGGTAGATCTGCTCTCTGTTTATGGACTAATTAAGTAAAAATAGCTTCGTTTGTAGGAATCTGGACTTACCTGTTGGACCCAAATGTATTAACTGTGACATGGCCACAAATTATTTATTGGTCTGGGCACTACGCTGCAGTAGGCACTTAGTTTGACCTAGTGCAAATTATGTTCAGTTCTGTAGCTTATGAGCGACTGGGAGGAAACTAGAGAGGACGACATGATCCTACGATCAGCGAGGCGCCTGATAGCCCACTTGGCATTAGGACCAGAGGGCGACAGATTCCTGTTCCGCCAACAGAGAGAGAGGCATCAGCAACAGAGAAGAGTTAGGGCCGCAGAGGCAAGTAGGGCATTCACAAGCGAGACCGCTACTTCAGCAGCCATGGCAACGGCTGCGCAGCAGAGCTCTCAGTCTAGTAGTTCAGGGACTGTAGGGTCAACGGTCGCAGAGACCCTGAGTCAGTCCACTGGCGTCATGGCAATCCCGCCGTTAGTTTTGACTCCCGAAGAGATTGCCATACAACAAGCAGATGCTCAGGAGGCAGGGGAGATAAAGGCATAAAGAGAGAGAATGATTAGGAGAAGTGCAAGGATGCAACAGAGACAAGCGGACATTAGTGAGTTAGAGGAGATGGTCCTGACGAACATGATGATGTCAGGACCCTGAGGGCGGTCTTGCTAGATGTACTAGAAATGCAGGATCACCAAACGGCTCTCTTAGAGGACATCCAGTAGAGCTTGGCCGTGCTGGCTGGGTGAGCTCAGGCGGAACCATCACCATCAGGGCCTGGTGCCTGGCCCGTGGTACAACCTCCTCCTTTTGTCCCACTGGTGACTGGGGTATCCCCATTTGTAATTCCTCCAACATCGGTATCGGCCGTTTCCCTAGGAATGCCTTTGACAGGAGGGTTCTCTGAAGGTCCTAGTGTACAAATTCTTGTACAGTCAGTGTATTCCCAACCTCCGTTGCAGGTTGCCGTAACTGGGTAGCCAGCTGTCACGCAGTCAGCACAGCAGCAGGGCACACAACCCCAACAACAGCTAGTGCAGCAACCTGCGCCGCAAGGTCCACAGCCCGGAGTGGTGCAGGTACCGGGACAAACACAGTGGGTTCCAAAGACAACCATCGCCTCACCCGAACCCTTTTCAGGGGGCAAGAGGGGCGAAGACCTTGACACGTGGTCGAGGTCAGTGTCGATCTACGTTAAGTGCGAGTTGACTTTGCCACACGAGGAAGTGCTTGTGGCTGCCTCCTACCTTAAGGGGAGTGCAACAAGATGGTTGAGCGGGCTAGTGCAGCTACAGGGGTACGAACATGACTTCCGTGCTTGGGCAGTCAACCAGAAACTGGAGGACTTTCTCAAGATGGTCGAAGATAGGTGGCATGATCCTCGGTGGCCCAAAAGGCCACTGATGCGATCTTGACTTTGAGCAACAGACCGTTCAAGTCAGTGAGGGATGCCACAAACGTTGTAGAGCGTCTGATATGTGTTCCTGGAGTACGCTATGACCCCCAAGTCTTACTGACAACTTACCTGAGGTGTCTTCCCATGCCACTCAGGAACCAGTTGGTAGGAGAGGCTAACATCAATGTGCACAACTTTCCTTCGTTCAGCAAGAAGGCCCTAGACCTGGATGCAAAGATAGGGCACGGGCACCAACCCACTACGGATGGAAGGAAGAAAACACTGCCTCCCAACTGGAAGGCGAAGGGACGCATCATGTTCGTCGACAACGATGGTTCCACCATCGAGTTGGACAACGACTTCCATGAGGGAGTAGGTACAGAGGTGGGCAGCGTGGAGGCTTCAGGGGTGGACCAGTCGCTGCCTCAGTCCAAAAAGGCAAGGCGACCGGTAGACGCCGTGGAAGCTCCCGGTCTAGGAGTCGAGTTGACCCTAACTCTCCCCCATGGGAGAAGCGGGTCTCGCTGAGGACGTGTGGAGAGACCTGTACACACGACAGACTTGTATCCGTTGTGGCCAATATGACCATAATCAATTCAAGTGTCGTAACAAAAAGGTGACTGAGAAGATCCCGCCTACAATGGGGCAGGCGACGGGATCCTCCTCTTCCATAGGTAGCAACGTGGCCAGCAAATCTGACATTGCTCCGGGAAACACGCCGGGCCAGTAGGAATAGTAGTTGTTCCTGCTAGGGTCGAGGTGGTGGACATACCCTCACCATCTCGAGAAGTGGCCCAAGCTATTGACTCCATTATCGTCCCGCAAACACATTCGGACCCAACGATTCTCTGTTCGTTGAATGTGTTTGAGTCCTTAGAGGAGCTAGAGGAGGAGTGGTCTAAATCAGACCCGCTAGCTTCTTGGACGGCTATCGCCAAAGCCCCTAAGGGTGAGTTGTTCATCGGCGAGGTAGTCATTGGCCTATTATGACACTTGTTCGACACGGAATTTTATCAGTCGTGCGTGCGTTGAGAGGTTGCACTTACAGGGGCCAGTGCAGCGCCCGAGTCGGCTTGTGGAGTCGACCTGTGCCAACAAACAACGCATGGTAGTCAACGACTACCTCAAAGATATCGAGTGTTGTTTCCCGTACGCGGGAGGGAAATTGAGACATCGAGTCTCGTTCCTAGTCAGCGATGATCTCCCTATGGATATCTTGCTGGGTATGTACTATCTTTCGGTTGCACAACCCTAGTTTGTCTGGGACAGAAAAGTGGTCAAACACACTTTGCTCGGAGGGGGGACCGCTAGATTACGTAAGTTTAAGGCTAGTAGTCTGATCGAGTCCTACAGATGCATGTGTGCAACTGCGTTCTACAATTATTATAAACAAAATTCGGAGGAGGGTATGCACTTAGTTTATGTCTCTGCAGCAGGCGAGCCTGAGGATCAACAAATGAGTAACATAGATCTGAAGTCCGGGTACCATCAGATTGCAATACGGCCCGAGGATCAACACAAAACCGCTTTTCAGACCAGGTACAGTCTGTACGAGTTTGTGGTGATGCCTTCCGGCCTTTGCAATGCTCCTGACACCTTTCAGCACGCAGTGAACCGGATCTTTCATGACTACTTGGATAAGTTTGTCATCGTGTACCTTGATGACATACTTATCTTCAGTAGGACTGTCGAGGAGCACGTTGGTCATTTAGACAAAGTCCTCAGTCTCCTTCGATAGCACAAGTTCAAGATCAACGGCGAGAAGTGCGAGTTTGGCCGCACCAATATCTTGTACTTGGGTCATGAGATTTCTGTAGAGGGATTGAAGCCCGATGACACGAAGGTGGCCAACATTCGTGATTGACCGCGCCCTTAGTTTGTGATTGAGATGAGGTCCTTCTTAGGGATGACCGACTACTACCGCAATTTTGTGAAGAACTATAGCATAGTTGCCGCCCCTTTGACGGACCTGACCCGCCTTGACACCTTATGGGAGTGAACAGACGTGTGAGGCTGCCTTCAGACGTCTGAAGCATGCTCTCACACACCATGAGGTCTTCAAACTTCCTGATCCCGACAAGCCGTTCAAAGTAACCATGGATGCCAGCCAATATGGCATAGGCGCCGTACTTGCGCAGCAGGAGGGGCCAAAGTTGAGGCCAGTCGAGTACATGTCCAAAAAGATGCCCTCTCAGAAGTTGGCTAAGTCCACCTATGAGAAGGAGCTGTACGCGATCTACAAAGCGCTAACCCACTGGAGGCACTACCTCCTTGGGAGGTTCTTCTACGTTAGGATCATCAGACCCTGAAGTGGATGAGAACCCAGCCAGTGCTCTCTGATGCGCTGAAACGTTAGGTCGAAGTCATTGAGCAATACGACTTTGAGCCCCAGTACATCAAAGGAGAGTACATTAAAGTTGTTGATGCGCTGTCGCGTAGGCCAGATTTTCTCGTTGCACTGATTATTGAGTTTGGGCTTGTGGACGATGTTACTCGCTTGGTGGAAGCCTATCGCGAGGATCCGTTTATGGCTGAGATCATACGCAAACTCGAGGCGAAGGACAAAACGACTTCTGCTGAGTTTGAGTTGGTCAACGGCCTACTATTCCTTGAGAAGGCTGGGAATAAACCTCTCTGTGTGCCTAACCGTGAGTCTTTACGTAGTTTATTTTTAGGTGAGTGTGATGATGCCACATGACATTTTGGTTATAACAAGACTGCGGCCAATTTGCTGCAGCAGTTCTGGTGGCCCACGATGATGAGAGATGCCAAGCTGTACGTGGAGACTTGTCAAGTATGTCAGAGAGACAAGCCCCGTACACATGCCCCTCTTGGGCGTCTTAAGCCCCTTCTGATTCTAGAAAGGCCTGGTGAGAGCCTGTCCATGGACTTCATGGACACATTGGTCACCAGCAAGAGTGGAAAGAGACACATCTTTGTCATTGTGGATAGATTTAGTAAGTACGCTAGATTGGTTGCGATGCCTGAAACAACGAAGATCGAGTACATCATTAAGATGTTCAAGGAGAACTGGGTCAGAGACTTTGGGCTACCGAAGTCTATTGTGAGTGACCGGGATGTCAGATTCACGAGTGAGTTGTGGAAAGCTGCAGCTGCAGAACAAGGTACACAGCTGCAGATGACATCCGGGAACCACCCAGAGGCAAACGGGCAGGCAGAACAGCTAAACCACGCTGTACAGCACCTGTTAAGGCACTACATCAAGCCCAACCAGGTGGACTGGGATGAGAAGCTTGCTCTCATCGCCAGCCTGTACAACAATGTTGTGCGCAGCGCAACAGGGGTGAGTCCAAACAGTTTGCTACTGACGTTCAAGCCTCGATTGCCTCTAGACATTCTGCTACCTGAGAATCAGCCGACAGCTGCACCGGGTACATTGGAATTTGCATATCGATATGAGCAGTTGATGCAGCACGCTGTAGAACAGATGCACAAGGTGTAGGCGGCGATGATAGAATCTGAGAACAAGCACCGCCGCCCATCTACATTCCAGGTAGGGGACAGAGTCTGGGTCAAGTCCTCAGAACAGGGACAAGAGCACGGGATAACCAGCAAGCTCATGCCGCAGTACTTTGGACCCTGGGAGGTTCTAGATATTGTCGGGGATGATCCGGATGGGCCGTCATATGTAGTTCAGATCCCTGGTCACCTTCGCACCTACCTTGTCTTTCATGCCTCTAAGCTTGCACCATCCAAGGAAACTGATCAGTTTCCCCCAACCATGGATGGAGAGGTCGACATCGATGACATCTGGACCACAGAGAAATGCCAGTTCCAAGATCGACAGGCAGAGGACGTCCTCCTAAACTGAAGCTGCAATATCGCGTTCGGTTCGGACATCACACTGACCCCAAGGAGGACAGATGGTTTATCCGGGAGGAATTGATGCAGACCGCTCCACAGGTTGTAGCCCACTACGAGAAGTTGCGGCAGAAGGGGAAGCGCCAAATTGAATGAACTTCTCAGAGGACTAGCAAAGTGGTGGAGGAGGGAATGCGAGGCACAAGGCCTCGGTAAGCCTTACTGGGCCCCATTATCAGCAAGGTCGGCCACCCTAAGTGAAGGCAGGCCCGACCTAGGCCTATTTTGGACTACCACGCAACTGGGGAAATTCAGGCAGTTGCGCAGCGCCAGTTGGTTGGAAGGCCCAGGCCCAGGCTGCCCTTATCGTATGTAACTGAGGCAGGCCCTGGGCCAGATACACAACATGGACTGAACCCAGGCTGCGGGCAGTTGGGCATGAGTAACCACCACAGGCCCTGGGCCTGATTCGTTTGGAGTGAGGCTCAGCCTCCCGGGGCCTACCGGAAGCTTCTAGGCTGGGGCCCGTGCAGCCAGGTCGTGCACAGCAGGCAAGCCACTTCCATTTAGGAAAGTGCCTGCCCCCGGATTCCTCGTTCGGGCACTGGCTGCATGCTGCGCAAGCGCTGCTGCGCTACACGCTGGCCAGGCTCACTTGCTCACGGGCGAGCAGGGAGAGGCAGGCAGCCATAGCCGAGCTGCGCTGCACAGCTGGATGGGGAGCATGGTGGTCCTTGGGTGCACGTGGCATCTGTGAGTGGGGGATCAAGGTTGTGAGTGATACGAGAGACATAGCTGGTGCTTGAGGCGAATGGCATTGGCCGAGATCTGCTCGTACTTCGGGGAGCTGTTGACATCACCAGCGGCATTGTAGATAGGCTAGATAGGATCTGCCATTTGTGGTCTGGGCATGGAACGCCAGATAGGATGTTGACATTGGTTCTTTGTTGATGATGATGAGACTATTCCAACATTGTCACTTATGAGCTTTTGCTGTGCTCTTATTTGGTGGAACTCGTGATGCAATTCTGCTTTTGGTTCGAGGTCACGACTATCTGGTCTTATGTGTATGATGCTGATTGGTTTCTGAAGTTCGCTATCGCTCATTTTTCTTGCAGAAAGAAAGAAAGAACAAAAAAAATAGTAGTAATAATAACGTATCTGCGCCGCGTCGTGGACGATGCAGAATCGTTGATGATGTGGCAGCGGCGACGATGATGTGGCGATGGTGACGATGACGTGGCAATGTCGACGTTGGCGATGGCGATGCTGGGAATGATGTGGCAATGTCGATGATGATGACAAAGGTGGCATGATGTCGTTAAAGCTGCCCCGCCTCGAGGAGGGCGGGCGGGAGGCCGATCGACACTGCTCTGATACCAGTGTGGCAAAGCAGAGGCAGAGCAGAGAGGCTGGGAGAGAGAGGGAGAGTGAGAGCACAGACACACGCTCACTCAACTCAACGCAGACTCGAACACGACTCAACGGACGCAGACACAAAGTGGCAAAAGTCGCAAATTCGCAATCGTGAATTCCCAAACACAATGCCGAAGCAAAGTCGCACTGAACACAAGCACTGAGGCTGAGAACTTGGTGCCCGTACTGGGCTTGAGTCTGTACATAAGTACCAGACTCAAATACGGTCCTGAGGGCGAAAGTGAAAATGCCTCAGGGCCAGAACTGAAAATCGAAAGTCTTAGAGTGGGCGTCAGAATGTCGGATGGCGTCAAGTATCCGAAATCCGAAAGTCCCAAAAGAAGGAATTTGAAAACGGGCGCCAGAATGCAGATGGCGCCAGCTGTCCAAAATCAGAAAAGCAAGAATAAAAAACAACAAGAATTGTAAAACAAAAAAAGAAAACAAATACAGCAAGCTGGCAGGTGGTAACCCGCAGACCAGGGATCGAGCCCTGGCGGAGGCTGTAACACCCACCTTCTCATGCCCCAATGTCTTTCTCTCTCCCTTCATCTGTGTACGCTTTCATTTAACAGCCTGCTTATTCAATGACTCTCTCTCTCTCTCTCTCTCTCTCTCTCTCTCTCTCTCTCTCTCTCTCTCNCTCTCTCTCTCTCCCCCCCTCTCTCTCTCTTACACACACATATCAGTGAGTGACTAGGTCAAGACGATGAGAGATATTACCGAATCATGATGGCATGTGATGCACTAAGATTCAGTCTGCATGGGAGGATAGGGATACTATGGTGCACAACGGAATTTGGCGCCTCTTAATGATTACGATTCTTCCTCGTCACTATCTGTGTGCAGGATAGAGGGGGCCGGATAAGAGGGGGGGGGGGCGCGGTTGGTGTGGATGTGGATGATCAATAGAATCCAAATGGTGAGGAGCAGGCATTGAGGACGACGGCAGGGGGTAGAGAAAGGGAAGGTGGTAGCATGCATGATGGTGCATGAGCAGTAGTCGGGATTGGGATGAGAGAAGGGCAAGCGTTAGAGAAAGGGGAGGAGGAAGTCTGGAGGGTGCAAGAGGAGTTGGGCATTGGGATGACAAAAAGGCAAGCGGTGGAGAAAGGGGAGGACGCAGAGTAGAGTCTGGAAAGGGGGCCAAGAGGGACGATAAAAGGGTAAGGGGAGAAAGAGGGAAAGAGGTTTCAAACAAGGATGCACGAGGAGTTGGGATTGGGATGACAAAAGGGACGGGGTCGAACAACAAGATGTGGATGGGGCATGGGGGAGTCGGAGCAGGGTGAGGCGGGGTAAGATTTGGATTAGGATACGATAAGATAGGTGGCCAGAGGTTTGCAAAGCAGGATGCTGTGGCAAATGGATGAGCCCGGAGGATGACATGAAGAGTAGTTAGAGGAGGAGGAGGAGATGCCTTCTTTTTCTATGATTGGTGGTGTACAGCGGCCATGAGATGGTCTTGATTGTGGCATGTTTCTACGATATGGAAATTGGTTTTCGCCAAGAGATTGATATCTGGTCTCAACTAAATCCTGTTGGCATTCTATGAACAGCTGGAGGGTTGAATGAACAGTATGAGGAACTGCAATTGAAAAACAGTTAAACCACCAGTACCTTTGGCGTCCGGTTTCGACAAGTCCTGGCCAGTACCCGAACTTTCAGGAGGCCGAGCCCGACATTGATTAATCTGATCGGCGGCCGTCGTTTCGTTTCGGACTCCTGAAAGGTCGGAGGCCGACTATTTTCGAACCGACAAAGGTACTGGTGTAACTGTTAAAATAACTGACATGTTTTTGACTTTTTGCACGCAAATTGAAAATGACATAGCATTGAAAAGACCAAATTTATGAAGAAATCAAGGACTTTGATGCTTGGACCTTTTATTAGGTAGAGGACCGTCCTACATATAATTATCAGTCTGCGTATCAGTTTTCGGCAGCATGCTCCATTTCTTTGTTGAATGAACATTTTTGCAAAGGTAAAGGTATTCACAACTTTTGGTGCAGAAAAAAAATCATGGATATCCAATTTAACTAAGTTAGAGTCGATGAGGCATATTCTTCCACAACCTTAGTCCAGCCACTAAGCAAATGGGAAGGTAGTGATTTGTAGATGAGTTGTTGCAAGCAAATGCGATGATAGTTGTTTGTAGCCGAGTTATTGATGGGTGCAAAATGAACCCGAGTTGTGAAATTTATGGCTGCGATGAGTTTAAGAAGAACCATCTAATTGTGGAGCCTTTTCTGAACACCAAGATCACCGAGCTGCCGTTGTCCAGGGATAATGATCTCTTATCGGATAGAGGCTATGCTACCAGAGTGGCTCAGGACCACTTGCCTGGCCGAGCCAAAAATGAATAAAAAAATAACAATAAGATTTTTAAACCATCATTTTTTTTTGAACTTATTTTGTATTTTTAATTTGGCAAAGAATTTCGATTGGACCCTGAGGCAAGAGTTGTTCAGTTTATTTTTCTGCACAACATAGTTTTTTTTATTTTTTTTTTGGATTTGTTGGATTTGTTTTGTCTTTTTTTTAACAGGGATTTTCCCTGGCCGTTTCTCGGCAGAGCTGCCCAGGCAGCCAAGATGACCCGGGCGGCCCGGTTGCTAACACAGGTTAGAGGACCTTTTGTGGGCTTCAGTAACTACTGACGTAATCCATGTTCTTTCTGATTCACCCTCTGCTGACAATCAGTTAAACTTTAATCAAGCATCCTCTTGAATGTCTCATCATGGCCAACTATAAACTTACATACACATACCGGATCTTCTTTGTTCGTTGCTTCACAGGCATTTACCTCTGCATTCGGCACTAGCGATCTTCTTTGTAAAGTGTTCCCCAGTGGATACAGGCTCTTCTGTGTTCTTAGCTTTACATGCACGCTCCCTCCTCCTCGGCTTTGGGCACTAGCAATCTACCTATGTGCAGCATTTCCCATCCAATGGGGTCTCTTTTCCCTGGAGCATTTCACAAAACACGAAGCCTGCAGAATCCTGTCTGGAACTACTGCTTCTCTTCCAGTTCACCCGCATGGTATCACAAACCGGTCGGCCGCCATGTTGTTTATTACAGTGCCTATCCAAGGCCAAAAAATGCCTTGAGTGTCTACTGCAACGCTTGGCTTATGGAGGCCAACAGATCAGCAGTTGTCTCTTGCAGGGCCTATATAGGGGCCAAGAGGGCATCCGCTGTCCATTGCAGTGCGCATTTTGGGGCCAACTTATCTGCCGACACGCCGACTACAGGTAGGCCCCTCAGCTTGAGGGCGAGGGCGAGGGCCAGAGTGAGCATGAGGGTGGGATTTGAGAAACAAGGCATCAACTCCACAACTTCCTGGAGGCCTTCACACAAAGAGAAAGGAGATGTGCGGACCCTAGCAAGCTTACCGCTCCATGTGCACAGATCGTCTGTCCCATGTTATGTGGGGGCCAATCCGCTGGAGCTGTCTCTTTTAACTTACAGTACAAAATATAAATTTGAAGGACAGCTTCTAAGGAGACCACCACAAATTTCACCTTTAGTATCGTATCCATCGTTGAGAGTATTGCTGCGCAGAATCCTCAGCGGTCATCGGTGTTGTGATCGTTGCTTTAGCTGCTCTGCAACGATTGACGATGAAGGCAGGAGTGTGGTTGTTAGTAACACACAATCGGACGTGGAAGGAGGAGATGTGGACAGCCAATGCCAAGACGAGACATTAAGCGAGCTTTTGAAGGATCAGGTGCCAGAATGGTTGTTAAAAAGGGTACAGGAGTTGGGTTTTGTGACACCGACAAGTGTTCAGCGGGAGGCTCTACCAGCTGTCTTCAGTGGGCGGGATTGCATAATTCATGCTCAGACTGGTTCAGGGAAAACTCTGGTGTACTTGATGCCATTGATTGCGAACATCGACACGAGAAGATCAGCGGTCCAAGCTCTTGTTGTGGTTCCCACAAGGGAGCTTGGGATGCAAGTTGCTAAGGTGGCAAGGCTATTAGGAGGAGGGAGCAGGGGAGATGACTCTAAAGAAAGAGAGGGAGGGGATGCTTGTTCAAAACCAGCCACCCGAAGAGACTCTAAGAGATTCTCCGTCATGACTGCCCTTGAAGGCACCGGAGCTGCCAGAGTTAAGGGATGGTTGAAGGCCGAGCCTCCACAACTGGTGGTGGGAATGCCTGAGCGTCTTCTGCAAATGATCAACGACAAAACCCTGAGGACAAACGCATTGCAATACGTTGTGGTTGACGAAGTTGATGCGGTGTTAGAACGGATGAAAAAGTCAAGAAGCTCACATCTTCACCAGCTTCTGACAATGGCAGGGTCTTGCAGCAGACGTCAGACACTGCTTGTGAGTGCAACTGTACCGCAGCACCATCACTTCGCATCGTACTGTATCCAAAACAAATGGGCGAAGCCAGATCTTCTGCATATCCATGTCGAGCCAGAAGAGAAGCTTCCAACTCACATAAAACACCGCTACATAATCTGCGCAGAGCCGAAGAGGCTCGAAATGCTGGACAAACTGATCGCGTCCGACAAGCCTCGGGCGGCAATCGTTTTTGGAAACGAACAGTCGGAGAAAGGGAAGAGATCTGGTGCTTTACCCCCAGCACAGGTGATTGCTCAGTACCTTTCTGAAAACAAACTTGTTTTCCCACATGTCATCGGCAGCACAAACCTGAGTTTGGAGAAGAACATGGCAGTTTCCATCTCCTCTGGAACTAGTGAAGCACAAAACACAACAAGTGCCAGATCTGAAAACCAGGAGCCTAGGATGAAGGGGCGGCCTGTTACTGAGGGCCAGGAGTGGGATGAAGAGTTTGGCAGCACAGGAATATCAGCAAATGTACTAGACGAGGAAACTGATGAGACGTGGAGGCCATTGCTTTTGACTGATGATGCAGATGCCAATGCTAGGGTCAGTGTATTGGATGAATTCAGAAGAGGAGCCAGGCGTTTGCTTGTCACGACTGACTTCGCAGGAAGGGGGTTGGATATTCCATCAGTTAGCCATGTATACAACTTTGACCTGCCTTCCAGTGCAATAGCGTATGTTCACAGAGGTGGGCGTACTGGAAGAGATCCGTTCGGGAGGGAGCAGGGAATTGTTACATCATTTGCTACCAACAAGGAGGTCTTTGTTCTGAAGAGACTATGGAACGAGTTGCAAATCGCTGCAGAGGAAGTTAACCTCAACTAGGCACCACGTTGAAGCCAGAGGAATCACTACTTTGTTTTTACTGCTATCAGCAATGAGGTGTGTGCCTTCACGAAACTTTTTGGCAAGGGCTGTGTGTGTGTGTGTGTGTGTGTGTGTGTGTGTGTGTGTGTGTTCACTTTGCTACACACAACACAAAAGAAAGGTAACTTCACCGACTCGTCAGGAGGTTGAACCTGACAGTGTTGTGTGTGTGTGTGTGTGTGTGTGTGTGTGTGTGTGTGTGTGTGTGTGTGTGAGAGAGAGAGAGAGNGAGAGAGAGAGAGAGAGAGAGAGAGAGAGAGAGAGAGAGAGAGAGAGAGAGAGAGAGAGTCCAAGTGATCGGCATTTCTGAGGTGGGAAGCATGTTGTTGAAGGCGCACACTTCCTGGGATAGAAATGTTTCTTTGGGAAAGCTTCGGTTTGTTCTTTCTCAGACATAAAGGCTACCTTCTGTATGCAGGGCTCACAGTTAGTTGCTTTGAGCCACTAAGCCCGCAGATGCTTCAAATTACCGGTATGGCGAGGAAGCGTAAAAGTTTTGAGCTTAATGGTAGCAGCGGAGAGCAAGAAGGTGCACAGAAAAAGAAGAAAAATATTTCGCTGTCAGAATGTACATTTTTATCTTAGAATTCTTTTCTGATTCCTTAAATCACCATTACCACAGAATCGATTTTGTCAAACCTTCAAAAGCAACCGACCTTGCCCTGCCCAGCCAGAAATGTCACGCCTATCGGGTCACAGCATCTTTGATCCATATATGCATGCGGTTTGGCAGTGGGTGGAAATGGAAACATTTTTGTTTATTGTTTGGAACTTAAATCCCTGATTTTCTTGGAATTTTTTTATCGACGAGAATAAGAATTGCGCCTGTGACCGCTGCACAGTTCAGAATTCGCAGAAATGACAGTGCACTGCAAGCTTGGGCGAAGACCAGTTAGAAACTGCAAGAAAAACAGTAAATCATGCGTTCAACGGCCTGCCGGTTCAAGCTTGGGCGAAGACCAGTTAGAAACTGCAAGAAAAACAGTAAGTCATGCGTTCGACGGCGTGCCGGTTCAATAATTGACAAAAATGGGAGGTGGCGGTAGTGGTGCCGCTCTTTTTCCCGTGGCCTGGCCTGGGAGCAGTTACGGGTAGCAGGCCCTCCCGTTTTTGGCTCGTTTCCCCAGGGGTGTGGCCTAGGCATCTCCGCCTCTGGGCCACGGGCATGGCGTAGACATCTCGGCTGTGGCCTAGCCACGGGTGTGGCCTAGACATCTCGGCCGTGGCAAGACGTCTCCGCCATGGCCCAGCCACGGGTGTGGCCTAGACACCTCGGCCGTGCCATAAGCAGGCCTGGAAAAAAAAAAAGCCGCATGCGGCAGGTGCGAAAAAAAAAGAAGAAAAATGAGTCGCAGGCATGGGAAAAAAAAAAAAAAAACACGAATGGCTACCTGATTTTGCCACTTCCGAACTTCCAATGGCTAAAAGTGCACAAAGCTGTTCTGTTTTTTGCAGTTTCTAACTGCCCTCGGCCCAGAACCGCAGTGCCCTGTTATTCCTGCGAATTTGGAACTGTGCAGCGGTCACCCGCGCAGTTATTTCAAGAATAAAACATTGCTGAAGTTGGGGTACTTCGAATTTTGCACACCGTCGCGGTACCCACCTTGCGTCTGGTAGGCTGAGCTTTTCATTTTGCAGTGCATATACGCTTGTGACTCTTGCGAGATCTGGAGGAGGGAGGGTGGAGGATTTTTCTTCCCTTTCCCGAAAAGAGCAACATCAGAATTTCTCTTGCAGAATTCTGAGCGACAAAAATCATCATAGTTGGCACACTCAGATTTTTGCGTCGGGCCTTCGACCGCCGACAGCCCCCACTCCCTCCCTCGGCGATGGGGCACACTCACAGGAGTGCATTTTTCTTTATCGTCGGGAGACTGGTGGTCTAAGAGTGGCAGGTGTTCTCCTTGTGTCTTAATTTCAGAGATTTCGATCATACATGCTTTGTGCACTCCGCAGGCCCTTCCCGACACAACACACCCTCATCATGACTGAATTGAACAGGAGAGATACCTTGCCTGCATTCATGATATGGGTGTGTTCTGTTGGATGGATGACGACAGTTCAGGAAGTGATCGTGAGAGGTGGAAATCAATAATCAACTTTCACCCACTATAAGGCCCACTCACAGGTTTGCCATTTCTTGATCACTGGGGGGGCTGGTGGTCTTAAGAGACAGGTCGTGTCCCTTTGTCTCAGTTTCAGAGATATAGATCACACATGCTTGTGCATTCGACACACCCCACTGGACACATAACATGCCCTCATCGTATCGTTGCATTGAATTGGAAAGATACCTTGTACACCTTCATGACAAGGGTGTTTTGTGTTCGATGGAAAGCGGTAGTTTCGAAGATGGTGCTGACAGGTGGAAGTTGATAAGCATGAAAGGTGGAAAGGTACGACTCTCTAATTCAGCGGATTACCACTTCATTCCTTCTTCTGGCACCCCAGGTGAGCAATATCCTGAGTATTGATGTCCCCATTAGTTCTCTTAGGGAATGCTCGCATCACAGTGGGACTGTTTAAAGCACCAGTCCTTCTGATTTTGCAACCTGGATGGCTGCTGGATGCCAAGAGAGACAGAACTGACACGTGAGCATACTATTTTGTTTTTGCCTGGCGCCGCTCGCTGTAGTCGGACTCCACTGAATTCGGTAGCTTGCTGGTAGTTAAAAACGGAATGTAACTCCTGCTGTGATCCTACTCAATTCATAATGCAAGACTCCACTTTGAGACAGTGCCACACTTCACAACTCAAGAAGAAGAAGTGGAATAAGACAAGGAGAGATTGAATGAAGAAAGAACCGATGTCATGTCATGCCTCTTGGCATCATCATCTCCGTCACGTACTAATCACGTACTTCTATTAATATTTGATACTAGGAGAGATTGAGTGATTAAAGCACCAATTTCATGTCCCTCCTCTCAGCATCATCATCTCCCTCACATAAACGCCTACTCTTATTAATAATTGCTACAATAATTAATGAATTAATAAATAAACAAGAATCAACGTCCGATCCCCCAAAGAACTCTCCTTTAGCTCGTCCGATCCCCCAAAGAACTCTCCTTTAGCTCTTTGGCTCTCCTTTCCTTACGGTGTCACAACTGGCTATGGCTGTTCATCCATGCCTAACACGGATGCGTAGAGGACAACGCACTACTACTAAGCTTCTCCCATCTCCTACTGCCGGTGCCTCTTTCTTGGATGATGTCCATGTCCAACCGGCACCCCAAGGGGGGGGGGGGGGGGTTCTATATGGAGCGCCAAACGAGGAAGTGGAGGTCAAGGTCCATCGTAGCCAAAGGTTAGTCTCTATGTTGGTTCCCTTACTTACTCCTCTGCCTCTGCTCTCACCTTCCACCTACCTTTCTTTCTCACCTGCACCTCCTCCTGCCGCCTCATTCTCCACCTCACTCGGCCTGGTGGTGTTTCAGCAACATGACTGCCAGGTGAATATTCAAACTATTCATCGCCTCTGGGCTCCTGCATCCCAACTCGCCCTATTCCTGGATCCACTGGGTGTGCTCGGGCTCTTGCCTCCCAATGCAGCCTATTGTGACCCGGACTATTGGTTCCTTCCTTTTGGTGGGAACATCATTCCTTCTATAGTCCTACTTCTTTGACCCATACCTAGCCCTAATCACGAGTACATACAGATTGGTACTGTTCTGTCTTGTCGTTGTGTTTTTTTTGGCCTATTAGTGTCCAGGATACTGCATTGTGCATCTATGAGATACACTTTGTGGGGCACCAAAAAGTGTTGTGGCAAAAAAACAAACGAAAAAAGTGTTGTGGCATGCCAAAGATGTTAATGATATGTAGGTAAAAGAAGAGATTTGACGCAGCGTGGCGGCGCTCGGCTAGGCGACCTACCGTCTTCGTCTTCCCCCAAACATAACGCATATGCCTTGTGAACGAATACAATGCATATCGTGCGTTGCACTCGTTTACAACGCATATGCGTTTTGTTTGAGTGAACAGGACCAACTTTACCTTCACAAGGGGTCGGGTCCAGGCTGAGTAGGCTCAGTTATGGACCATGGCCAAGGGCCTCAGAGCCTTGAAAAATAGGGTAAAAAAAAAGTAGCGATGTACCTTTCCATGTTCTGGTCGGGGATTCATTTATTTCCCCTACTTGGGGCCTCACTCCACTCCTCAGGAAATGTGCAAAATGAGAATGAATCTTCTGCTAAAACATGGAAAGATACAACCCTTTTCTGTCTTTTCTCTCTTCGTGACCACCGTAGCAGCGTGGCCTTTGTGAGTGGCTTGAACTGGCTTCCAGTTTCTTGGCCGCACCACTTTCTTGGTTGTCAGAAGCGCCTTCGCGCACGGACACACACACACACACACACGGGGAGGGAGAGAGAGAGAGAGAGAGAGAG